GTTTAGTGGGGGTGCGTGTGAGTGTTTAGTGGGGGTGCGTGTGCGTGTTTAGTGGGGGTGCATGTGCGTGTTTAGTGGGGGTGCATGTGCGTGTTTAGTGGGGGTGCATGTGCGTGTTTAGTGGGGGTGCATGTGCGTGTTTAGTGGGGGTGCGTGTGAGTGTTTAGTGGGGGTGCGTGTGAGTGTTTAGTGGGGGTGCATGTGCGTGTTTAGTGGGGGTGCATGTGCGTGTTTAGTGGGGGTGCATGTGCGTGTTTAGTGGGGGTGCATGTGCGTGTTTAGTGGGGGTGCATGTGCGTGTTTAGTGGGGGTGCATGTGAGTGTTTAGTGGGGGTGCATGTGCGTGTTTATTGGAGGTTAATGTGCGTGTTTAGTGGAGGTTAATCTGCGTGTTTAGTGGGGGTGAGTGTTTAATGGGGGTGCATGTGCGTGTTTAGTGGGGGTGCGTGTGCGTGTTTAGTGGGGGTGCATGTGAGTGTTTAGTGGGGGTGCGTGTGAGTGTTTAGTGGGGGTGCGTGTGCGTGTTTAGTGGGGGTGCGTGTGCGTGTTTAGTGGGGGTGCGTATGCGTGTTTAGTGGAGGTGCGTGTGCGTGTTTAGTGGAGGTGCGTGTGCGTGTTTAGTGGGGGTGCGTGTGAGTGTTTAGTGGGGGTGCATGTGAGTGTTTAGTGGGGGTGCATGTGTGTGTTTAGTGGGGGTGCATGTGTGTGTTTAGTGGGGTGCATGTGAGTGTTTAGTGGGGGTGCATGTGTGTGTTTAGTGGGGGTGCATGTGTGTGTTTAGTGGGGGTGCGTGTGAGTGTTTAGTGGGGGTGCATGTGCGTGTTTAGTGGGGGTGCATGTGCGTGTTTAGTGGGGGTGCATGTGTGTGTTTAGTGGGGGTGCATGTGTGTGTTTAGTGGGGTGCATGTGAGTGTTTAGTGGGGGTGCATGTGTGTGTTTAGTGGGGGTGCATGTGTGTGTTTAGTGGGGGTGCGTGTGAGTGTTTAGTGGGGGTGCATGTGAGTGTTTAGTGGGGGTGCATGTGTGTGTTTAGTGGGGGTGCATGTGTGTGTTTAGTGGGGGTGCGTGTGAGTGTTTAGTGGGGGTGCATGTGCGTATTTAGTGGGGGTGCATGTGTGTGTTTAGTGGGGGTGCATGTGTGTGTTTAGTGGGGTGCATGTGAGTGTTTAGTGGGGGTGCATGTGTGTGTTTAGTGGGGGTGCGTGTGTGTGTTTAGTGGGGGTGCGTGTGAGTGTTTAGTGGGGGTGCATGTGCGTATTTAGTGGGGGTGCATGTGAGTGTGGAGGTGTGCGAGGAGAGAGCTGCGCCGGCCGAGTTTCTCCGCTACGGTTGCACCACAGGAACATTCTGTGGAAACTATTGCCAGTGATGATTGTTGACAACAATTGCTATGAAATCTTCGCAGTCGATCACAGCCTATGAGGTGTGGTCTTGGTCGTGAAGTCTGTTGCGCTGACGCTACCGACGGCAGTATCGTGCTCTTATTCTGCCCTCGGCTTCTTGTGGTGCTCACAAGGGGCCGGCATTCCACCCCACTCCCTTCCCAGCAACTCAACTACTCTCATTGCGAGGCCACTATTCGATTCCGGATCATATAATTTGTATGGTCTTGTTATCATTTGTATTGTTTCTCAATTATTCTCCGTTTAACGATGAAATGTAATAACTTATTAAGTTTTGTGTGCTCTGTTAGCCGCGGTCTCGCGTGGTAGGGGTGGCTCGCAAACCAACCTGCCGCACCGGTGTCACATTGACCAATCACCACCATGGGCCTAAATGTCAAATATATTGAACGATTGGAAATAATAACTTCTCACGCATGCAACTCGGCGCTTTTATCAGGTGCGTATCGCGTGGCGTGATTACCAATCGTGCAGTTAGGGTCGAAGCTAGTTTTGTTTTGTTTATTAAAGTTGGGGCCTGGTCCGGTCGGCCCAAGTGCGTGTCGAGTCCGGGCTCTGCTCGGTTCGGGGTACTGCTGGTGCCACCACGCTTGTGAAGCCGGCACTGGTGTCTCTCCGCAGCTTGAGCGAGCGCTACGAGGAGGAGATGACAGTGCGAGCCGAGGCTCTAGTCAACTCCGGCAGGCGGCTGGTACAGAGGTACGAGCAGGAGAAGAGCCGTCTCGCCGACGGGCTGCTCCACCCACGCTTGCACGGATGGCCGGATGACGTCGCGGTCACCGAACGGCCAAACCACCAACCCGACGAACGACCCCCACCCGACCGCCAGCCCACGGGTACCCCCACCGAGTAAATGACCCAACACGCATCATCCTGACACACTGACCAAATAACTTACAGACCGATAACTCGCCACCCCATCCTATGACCCAATAAAATACTTTCGCAACAATATACATGAACCCGACACCCGACTTGCCCACCCTCTGACTCTATAAGACACCGAGGCCAATACAATACACCGACTTGGTGAAACTCTGACCCATCAATCGACTCATTTGACTTCGAGCCTATCCACCGGATCACCAGCTGATCTACTGATCCAATAAACACTCTAACCTGGTAACTTACTGCCAAAATACTGATCCACCAAATGACCCTATAACCTTGCCAGCTAGGCTCAGACTCACGACCAGCTGATCTAATAATCCAAAAACCCACTGTCCCACCAGGCTATCCCCGCTATGAAGGAGGGACCGGTATTATAAATTAATGTTGTGGCCATAAACGTGTTTAAGCCCAGGAGTGTCTGTGCACTCATCTTTCCCAAATGGAAGCTGCTCGTGGTGGAGGCAACATGTCACGTCTGGCAACGCAAAACTAGTTTAGCACCAATGGATTTGACTTAAACCACTCGTGCACAAGACCAGTTGAAAAATTATCCTGACATTTTTATAAATTAATACACACCGTGAGGAGGGTAGTTCCTTAAACAGCATGCTCCAAGTGGTCGAGTGACACGGACGTATGTTCTCCTGTACGTGCATTCCACGTAGTTATGTTCTCCTGTAAACGAGGGCTACGCCTCGGAAAATGTGCACAACGCACGCTGTGCTCCCACGGTTTCATCTTTACATGTCACAGCGATCTGCAGGTTCTGCGCTTGTTTAGCTTGAGGCTGTAGTCATCGCCGCGATGCCGCGAGGGAGTCTGCTGAGTGAGCTCCTGCGCCCCGTTATCAATCGAAGGCTCGCGTTGCCGAGCCACGTGTCGCCAGGCTCGATCGGAACACGACGGTGGCTGGGAGGGCTCGGCGGGCTGTTTAAAGTTCTTGGGAGACGCCGCAATGGGGGATCAACGTAGGCTCGGAATGAACTTAGCAAAATTATATCACTTGAGAGAGAAGGCTGCAGATGTGTGCGTCGTTGTCTCGTTACCAGCTTTTGTTGAAAACTTGGGTGTCATGTGGAGCATTTCATAATTCTCGTGACAGACTGCAAAGGCTGAAGTGGAATTCCTCACACATCCGACACGACACAATATACGCACAGACACACGTAAACTTTACCCCCTGTATTTCCAATATTCCTATAACCGTGCTCGATTCAAGACACTTATTATCTCTTTATCGGTGACACATTTAATAGTCATGTTTTTTGCTGGCTGTTTTGTGTGTGTGGGTCTTTGGGGCTGTCTGATGAACAAAAATAAAATTAGTTCCTTGGGTGTTAGCCCCTCCATATACGTAGGCTTTGTTCGGGCATTCCAGTTTCCTGCCACACACAACGACCAATTCAGCTCCTGCCCTCAGGACCCTCTTGGAAATGCAGCTTGAGACCACCAATCACTGCACCGCCACTCCCCAAATGCAGGATACTGCAGCATGCGTCAAAAATAAAATCCATTCCAGTCATTCTCAGCACAACAACGGATGAAGGCCCCTCCCGTACGTCGCATTAACAATGGGGGTCATTTGATCATATTTCACCACGCTGGTGAGTGCGAGTGCAAAATTATTCCCGGCTGAAAGTAAACATTGAGCGTCGCGATGGAGAGAAAGAGCAGTCTAATCACGAGACAAGAAGGCGCGATGAAGGGACCACTCCTACCCCTTGTAGCAAGCCACCCTCCCTTATCACGCCTCTTGATACTTCTCCACTGTCTATAAATCCTCACAACACGCTCGATTTTTTTCCTTGTTTTTTTTTAATCTCGTCGATTCTTTTGCATGGAAGCCCCCGGTTTCAGCGAGGCCGGTGCTCTCCTCCATCTCGTAGGCATTCAGACGTGACTCGCCTCCTCTCGTGCAACGTCTGACCTCCATCCCCCTCCCTGCGCTCCTCTCCTACAATGCTCCGTCTCCTCACAAGTTGCCAAGTTCTCCATTCGGTGGCCACACTTCCCCTACAAGGTGACCCTGGCAGCGCGGACCTGGGAAGCTGCGATCCTCCGTGAACGCACCAGCGCTTTCCTTCAGCATCTTCCTCGGGAGGCTTGCTGGGGTCCGGAGCTCCGAGAAGGTGGGAGGGGGGTTCCAGGCGGCGTGGGCCGGGTCTTCACGAACCGGCTACCCTTATGCCGCCCCCTGCTGGCGTGGGGTGGCGACGCCTGTTCATCACCCAAATTCGGAGGCCTCAATTCCCCGCCGTTCTGGCCTTAGTGACGGAATATGGAGGTGCTTTGGGATACAAATTAAATGTAACTAAATCGGACTTGATGCCCCAAATAAGTTCTCAAGAAATTAGTTTTCAATCTAGATGATTTAAAAGTGTATAGCTCCAGTGGCTTCCTAATATTGGAAGCGCATCTGAAAGCGTGTGATGTGCTGGGTCCAGAGCACAAATAATCATCCCCATGCAACAGGGCCACCATCATGCAGTCCCCCATGCAACATGGCTACCATTAAGTCCCCCATACAACACTGCCAACATGAAGTCCCCCATGCAACTTGGCCACCTGGATATCACTCATGCATCATGGCCGCTAAGAAATCTAAAATGAATCATGGCCACTGTGACATCCACCATGCAACATGGCCATCGTGATGTTCCACCATTCACCATGGCCCTCTGTGACATCCCTCATTCCTGTTCTTACCTTGCGGTGATTTGATGCAGATGGAGGCGGTGCCCTCTGAGGACAGCGCCCTCCACGTGGTACAAAATTCGCCCTTATTCCTCGCCTCTCCAGATTGGCTCATCTACACACACACAAAGACAAAGGTCCACCACATAGGCTTTAGCAAGATGTGGGGGATAGTGCAAGCGGCGAGCACTGAGCCAGGATCTCTGAGATCCTGGGCTCCAGATTCAGGAGGGTCCTGCTGAGATGTCAGTTCTCAGCGTTCGGATATTTGGCCAATGTCAGATGTCACACTTGGATTAACAATGAGACACGTGTGTATTTAAAGGACACACGCAGGTTAATGGCATCCTTCAAACTGTTAAGAGAAGTAGGGCTGGGCCAGGACATGCCACAGCCACGAGGAACAACGATGGCTGATGGTCAAGAACAATAACGGAGGTGCAGCCAAGTATCGGAACACGTATGAGAGGATGGCTGCTAGAAAGATGGAGCGACAAAATCGGTGCTTGGTGGATTATTCCATCGCATGATCGTGAGGGGTAGCAGGGTCTCAATGAAGGAGGCCTTCATCCAGTAGTGGATAGATAAAAGTACAGTAGATTATTAAAACGTAGAAAGGCAGGTGCACAGAGAGGATCTTGGGGAGATACTCTGATAGATGCACAGACACTCAGGCAGCCAAGCAGATGCACACTTAGGTGTATGGATAGGTGACAGGTAGCCACATTCGGAGTGGAGAGCACACGTCTATTAATACTTCACCACACGAGTCGAAGAGCCACATGTACCTCCATGGTGGCCAATTGCAGAGCAGGGTGCACAGAACTAACAGCGTCTCTCGCGCAGTCCAGGTCTCTGCGTGCGAAGCAGGAGACGAAGCCGAGGATCACATAGAGTCGAGGGGGTGTGACGGCACCCACATCACAACACGAGTCAAGTCACAATGCGGACTCACACCATGAACCCACATCATCAACACAGACTCACATCATCACCAATCACTCACAACACGAAACACAAAAACAACAACCGACATTCGCCACTTAGTAGCGATGATGTCACCACGGCGCCTTTGCCAGGCCAGGTGCACTTTCAGGCCACACGAAGTGTCGAAGGCTCGCTGACAAGACGTCACGAGACAGACCCAGGTTCCAAAGGTTGGCTGAGATGATTGGTAGATACACCAGCTGTATGCCCAACTGTGCCAACTTGCCGAATTTTATCCGCCACTCGTTGTGAGCGTCACTCCTCTGCCCTCAGTTGTTGTTGGAGGCAGTCTGCCTCCAACTGTCCAGTAGCCTCCTTCACGAGCTTCCTCGTGAAGGATGCTATTTACACCGCTGGTACCAGTCTTTCACAAGTCCACTCAACTCAACATCCTCCCATACAGCATCAGTCCATATTTTCGACAGCCCATGTCATGGCCGTTTAGCCCCCTTTATGTGGCCAAAAAGAAACTGCTTGGGTATGCGGGCTACAAGACCCACCAAACGCAGCCTTGCCTGCCGAAGGAGCTTACTGGTGGGAATGTGTCCAGATCCTTCAAGGATTTGTGAGCTCCTCACACAATCCAGCTAGGTTAAACCCAGGATGGCTCGTTGGAACCACCACCACCACCACTAACACCATCACCACCAACAACACCAGTACCACCACCAACAAGAATATCACCATCATCAACACCGTCACCAGCACCACCAACAACACCAACAGCACCACTACCAACAACACCAACAACACCACCATCAACACCAACAACACCACCATCAACACCACCAACAACACCACCACGAACAACAACTATAAATATCCTCCTTATAGCTGAAATAAACTGTTGGGGCAAGTGCTGTTAGCCAGCATCACCTATGAAGGCCGGAAAAGCACACGAGGGCATGGGTGGCCAACACCACGCCTTTGTCTCCGAGTGGCGATATTTACACACCACACCAGGTACCCATTTGAGGCTGAGTCGACCTAGGGGAGGCCCAGGACCGGTTCATATAATCGTCACTGGTGTTGACAGCGCGTTAACCACTCCACACACACACAGACTCACACACGGATACAAACACACACGGACTCACACAAACACAGACTCACACCACACACACAGACTCACACCACCGCACCACCCACCCACAGCGAGGATCCACTCCTCACCTTCGCCAGTTTCTCCCCGCCTCTCTAATGGACAAACTGCCAGGGGGAAGCGCGTGGCTCGAGACGAGGGGGCGGTACCAGGTGACCACGCCCACCGAGACGTGGAGCCCTGAGCCCCTCTCCCCCCTCGCCCCCCCCCCATGCCCACCCCCTCGCCCCGCCCCCTCTCCCCCGCCCCTCCCCCCGCCGAGGCCGGGGCGAGTGGAGGCAGCGCTGTGCATTGTGGGTGGCGAGCGGCTGATTCGGATTCCCGCTCGCGGCCACCGTCGCTGCTGAAGCGGCGGCTCGCTGGCTGGTCCTCCTCTACATCGACTCAGCCCGAACAAGGTGAGAACCTTGCACGGTGTGGACACATCAGCAGTGGCGGTGGTGGAGAGGGGAGGCAGAAGAGGCGCCTGGCTCACAGCCGTTACGCTCTGGGCGCCTGCTGAGTTCACGGCGCTGCTCCAAGCAGAGCGCGGCCTGCTGATGATGATGATGAGGAGAGGCACTGCCAGATTGTGGCTGATGGGATGAGTTACATTTAGTTATTTTGTATCTGGAGGGACGGAGTTGTCGTGGCAGCAAATGGCCTCCACTAGAGGCCGCGATGTGGGGTATTTGGTCTACTCTTCCACGCTGGTCCAGATCCGTTGGAGCGGGGTGGGTGTACCCACAACTTTACCCTCCACACGCGGGGGGCGTCAGCTCACTGCACTTGCAATGCAGAGGTGCAGGTTCGAGTCCATTTCACACTCAGTCATTCACCCACCCACTCACCCACCCACAGAGGGATAAAGACCCTTTATGCAGTGGTTGTGTAGTATCTGCATCAATGTTTTTGTTGTTTAGTTATGGTGGTTGTTGTGGTTGCGGTTATAATCTTGGCTTTAGTTTTGGTTGTATAGGTGGTTGTAGTGTTGGTTGTAATTGTGGTGGCTCTGGTTGTGGTGCCCTTGGTGGTTTTGGTTGTGGTTATGATTGTGGTTGAGAAGGTTGTGGTTATATGTGCGGTTGTGGTGTTTGTGGTTATAACTTGATTTGAAGCTTTGGTGACTGCAGGAATTACTCTCTGGTTCTTTCTGTAAAGTCACGTAGAAAGAAAATAAATTAAATAATAGAGTACGACGTTGCGATTGCAACACAAGCAACCGTCATCAGGTAGAATAAAATTTTAGAGAGAGACAAAACACAGACACGGAGACACACAGACAGACACACAAGCAGAGAGATGGTGGTGATGGTGGTGGTGGGCGTGGTGGGGGTGGTGGTGGGGGTGGTGGTGGCGGTAGTGGGGGCGGTGGTGGCGGTGGTGGTGGCGGTGGGGGCGGTGATGGTGGTGGAAATGATGGTAATGATGGAGATGGTGGTGGTGATGGTGCTGCTGCTAATCATGATGATGCTGTTGGCTCCAGGTCCCACCACCGATGGGCGCTGCCGGTGCGTCGTCTCTGGTTGACGCTGCTCAGCAAGGAGCAGCTTCACTCCACGTTCCTGCGCTACTCACTCACTCACCCACTCACTCACCCACTCACCCACTCCCTCACCCACTCACTCACGGACCCACTCACTCACTCAGCCACTCACTCACCCACTCACTCACTCACCCACTCACTCACTCACCAGCTTCACTCCATGTTCCTGCGCTACTCACTCACTCACCCACTCACTCACGGACCCACTCACTCACTCAGCCACTCACTCACTCACCCACTCACTCACTCACTCACCCACTCACTCACTCACCAGCTTCACTCCACGTTCCTGCGCTACTCACTCACTCACCCACTCATTCACTCACCCACTCACTCACTCACCCACTCACTCACTCACTCACTCACCCACTCACTCACTCACCAGCTTCACTCCACGTTCCTGCGCTACTCACTCACCCACTCACTCACTCACCCACTTACTCACTCACCAGCTGCACTCCACGTTCCTGCGCTACTCACTCACTCACCCACTCACTCACTCGCTCACCCACTCACTCACCAGCTTCACTCCATGTTCCTGCGCTACTCATTCACTCGCAGGCGGCCACAGCACGAGGTGAGCTCACTCACTCACCCACTCACCCGCACACTCATCCACTCGCTCGCTCGCTCACCCACTCACTCGCTCAACCACTCGCTCGCTCACTCACTTGCTCACTCACCCACTCACTCACTCACGCACTCACTCACCCACTCACTCACTCACTCACTCACCCACTCACTCACTCACCAGCTTCACTCCACGTTCCTGCGCTACTCACTCACTCACCCACTCATTCACTCACCCACTCACTCACTCACCTACTCACTCACTCACCAGCTTCACTCCACGTTCCTGCACTACTCACTCACTCACTCACCCACTCACTCACTCACCCAGTCACTCACTCACTCACCCACTCACTCACTCACCAGCTTCACTCCACGTTCCTGCGCTACTCACTCACCCACTCACTCACTCACTCACCCACTTACTCACCAGCTGCACTCCACGTTCCTGCGCTACTCACTCACTCACCCACTCACTCACTCGCTCACCCACTCACTCACCAGCTTCACTCCACGTTCCTGCGCTACTCATTCACTCGCAGGCGGCCACAGCACGAGGTGAGCTCACTCACTCACCCACTCACCCGCACACTCATCCACTCGCTCGCTCGCTCACCCACTCACTCGCTCAACCACTCGCTCGCTCACTCACTTGCTCACTCACCCACTCACTCACCCACTCACTCACCCACTCACTCAGCCAATCACTCGCTCGCTCGCTCACCCACTCACTCGCTCAGCCACTCGCTCGCTCACTCAATTGCTCACTCACCCACTCACTCACCCACTCACTCACTCACCCACTCACTCACTCAGCCAATCACTCGCTCGCTCACCCACTCACTCGCTCAGCCGCTCGCTCGCTCACTCGCTCACTCACCCACTCACTCACTCAGCCACTCACTCACTCGCTCAGCCACTCACTCACTCAGCCACTCGCTCACTCAGCCACTCGCTCACTCGCTCGCTCAGCCACTCGCTCGCTCGCTCAGCCACTTGCTCACTCACCCACTCACTCACTCGCTCAGCCAATCACTCGCTCACTCACTCGCTCACTCACTCACTCGCTCACTCACTCACTCGCTCACTCACTCACCCAGCCACTTACTCTCTCGCTAGCTCGCTCACTCACTCACTCACTCATTCACTCACTCACTCAGCCACTCATTCACTCACCCACTCAGCCACTCATTAACTCACCCACTCAGCCACTCACTCACCCACTCAGCCACTCACTCACTCACCCACCCACTCACCCACCCACTCAGCCACTCACTCACCCACCCACTCACCCACTCACCCACTCAGCCACTCACTCACTCACTCAACCACTCACTCACTCACCCACTCACCCACTCACTCACTCACCCACTCACTCACCCACTCACTCACCCACTCACTCACCCACTCACTCAGCCACTCACTCACCCACTCAGCCACTCACTCACTCAGCCACTCACTCACTCACTCACCCACTCACTCACCCACTCACTCACCCACTCACTCACCCACTCAATCACTCACCCACTCACTCACTCAGCCACTCACTCACCCACTCACTCACTCACCCACTCACTCACCAGCTTCACTCCACGTTCCTGCGCTACTCACTCACTCACTCACCCACTCACCCACTCACCCACTCACTCACCCACTCACTCACTCACCAGCTTCACTCCACGTTCCTGCGCTACTCACTCACTCACTCACCCACTCACTCACTCACCCACTCACTCACTCACCCACTTACCCACTCACTCACCCACTCACTCACTCACCAGCTTCACTCCACGTTCCTGCGCTACTCACTCACTCACTCACCCACTCACTCACTCACCAGCTTCACTCCACGTTCCTGCCCTACTCACTCACTCACCCACTCACTCACTCACCCACTTACTCACTCACCAGCTGCACTCCACGTTCCTGCGCTACTCATTCACTCGCAGGTGGCCACAGCACGAGGTGAGCTCACTCACTCACCCACTCACCCGCATACTCATCCACTCCCTCGCTTGCTCGCTCACCCACTCACTCGCTCAGCCACTCGCTCGCTCACTCACTTGCTCACTCACCCACTCACTCACTCACCCACTCACTCACCCACTCACTCAGCCAATCACTCGCTCGCTCACCCACTCACTCGCTCAGCCACTCGCTCGCTCACTCACTTGCTCACTCACCCACTCACTCACCAGCTTCACTCCACGTTCCTGCACTACTCACTCACTCACCCACTCACTCACTCGCTCACCCACTCACTCACCAGCTTCACTCCACGTTCCTGCGCTACTCACTCACCCACTCACTCACCCACTCACCCACTCAATCACTCACCCACTCACTCGCTCAGCCACTCGCTCGCTCACTCACCCACTCAATCACTCAGCCACTCACTCACTCGCTCACCCACTCACTCAGCCACTCACTCGCTCAGCCAATCGCTCGCTCGCTCGCTCACTCACTCGCTCACTCACTCACTCACCCAGCCACTCACTCTCTCGCTAGCTCGCTCACTCACTCGCTCGCTCGCTCGCTCACTCACTCATTCACTCACTCACTCACTCACCAAGTCACTCACTCTCTCGCTAGCTCGCTCACTCACTCACCCACTCAGCCATTCACTCACTCACTCAGCCACTCACTCACCCACTCAGCCACTCACTCACCCACTCAGCCACTCACTCACTCACCCACCCACTCACCCACTCACTCACCCACTCAGCCACTCACTCACTCACCCACTCACGCACTCACTCACTCAGCCACTCACTCACTCACCAGCTTCACTCCACGTTCCTGCGCTACTCACTCACTCACCCACTCACTCACTCACTCACCCACTCACTCACCCACTCACTCACCCACTCACTCACTCACCAGCTTCACTCCACGTTCCTGCGCTACTCACTCACTCACTCACCCACTCACTCACTCATTCACTCAACCACTCACTCACCTACTCACTCACTCACTCACCAGCTTCACTCCACGTTCCTGCGCTACTCACTCACTCACCCACTCACTCACTCACCCACTCACTCAGCCACTCACTCACTCAGCCACTCACTCACCCACTCAGCCACTCAGGCGCTCACATAATGTTGTTGTTGATGTTGTTGTTGACGATGTTGTTGTTGTTGACGTTGTTGTTGTTGTCGTTGTTGTTGATGATGATGATGTTGTTGTTGTTGACGATGATGATGTTGTTGTTGACGATGTTGATGATGTTGTTGACAATGTTGTTGTTGTTGCTGCCGCTGCAGACGCGCGACTGGAACGAGGAGCTGCAGAGCTGCCGTGAGCTCCCCCACAAGATGCTGTCACAGAGACTCGTTAGAGAGAGAGCCACATTCAAGGTGGTGGTGATGGTGGTGATGGTGATGGTGGTGATGGTGGTGATGATGGTGGTGGTGGTGGTGGTGGTGATGGTGGTGATGGTGGTGATGATGGTGGTGGTGGTGATGGTGGTGGTGATGATGGTGGTGATGGTGGTGGTGATGATGATGGTGGTGGTGATGGTGGTGGTGATGGTGGTGGTGATGGTGGTGGTGGTGGTGATGGTGGGGGTGGTGGGGGTGGTGGTGGTGGTGATGGTGGTGGTGGGGGTGGTGGTGATGGGGGTGGTCATGGTGGTGGTGGTGATAATGGTGGTAATGATGGTGATGGTGGTGGTGGTGATGGTGGTGGTGGTGGTGGTGGTGATGGTGGTGGTGATGGTGGTGGGGGTGGTGGGGGTGGTGGTGATGGTGGTGGTGATGGTGGTGGGGGTGGTGGGGGTGGTGGTGGTGGTGGTGATGATGGTGGTGATGGTGGTGATGGTGGTGGTGGTGGTGGTGATGGTGGGGGTGGTGGTGGTGGTGGTGGTGATGGTGGTGGTGGGGGTGGTGGTGATGGGGGTGGTGATAGTGGTGATGATGGTGGTAATGATGGTGATGGTGGTGGGGGTGGTGGGGGTGGTGGTGGTGGTGGTGATGATGGTGGTGATGGTGGTGGTGATGGTGGGGGTGGTGGGGGTGGTGGTGGTGATGGTGGTGGTGGGGGTGGTGGTGATGGGGGTGGTGATAGTGGTGATGATGGTGGTAATGATGGTGATGGTGGTGATGATGGTGGTGGTGGTGATGGTGGTGGTGGTGATGGTGGTGATGGTGGTGGTGGTGCTGATGGTGATGGTGGTGGTGGTGATGGTGGTGGTGATGGTGGTGGGTGGTGGTGATGGTGGTGGTGGTGGTGGTGATGGTGGTGGTGGTGGGGGTGGTGGTGGTGGTGGTGATGGTTGTGATGGTGGTGGTGATGGTGGTGGGGGCGGTGGTGGCGGTGGTGGCGGTGGTGGTGGCGGTGGGGGCTGTGGTGGCGGTGGTGGTGGTGGTGGTGGGGGTGGTGGTGGTGGTGGTAATGATGGTGATGATGATGATGGTGGTGGTGATGGTGGTGATGGTGCTCCTGCTAATCATGATGATGCTGTTGGCTCCAGGTCCCACCACCGATGGGCGCTGCCGGTGCGTCGTCTCTCGTTGACGCTGCTCAGCAAGGAGCAGCTTCACTCCACGTTCCTGCGCTACTCACTCACTCACCCACTCATTCACCCACTCACCCACTCCCTCACCCACCCACTCACTCACGGACCCACTCACTCACTCAGCCACTCACTCACCCACTCACTCACTCACTCACCCACTCACTCACTCACTCACCAGCTTCACTCCACGTTCCTGCGCTACTCACTCACTCACCCACTCCCTCACCCACTCACTCACGGACCCACTCACTCACTCAGCCACTCACTCACTCACCAGCTTCACTCCACGTTCCTGCGCTACTCACTCACTCACCCACTCACTCACTCATTCACTCACCTACTCACTCACTCACCAGCTTCACTCCACGTTCCTGCGCTACTCACTCACTCACCCACTCACTCACTCACCCACTCACCCACTCACTTACTCACCCACTCACTCACCCACTCACCCACTCAATCACTCACCAGCTGCACTCCACGTTCCTGCGCTACTCATTCACTCACAGGCGGCCACAGCACGAGGTGAGCTCACTCACTCACCCACTCACCCGCATACTCACCCGCATACTCATCCACTCGCTCGCTCGCTCACCCACTCACTCGCTCAGCCACTCGCTCGCTCACTCACTTGCTCACTCACCCACTCACTCACCCACTCACTCAGCCAATCACTCGCTCGCTCGCTCACTCACCCACTCACTCGCTCAGCCACTCGCTCGCTCACTCACCCACTCACTCACCCACTCACTCACTCACTCACCCACTCACTCACCCAGCCAATCACTCGCTCGCTCACCCACTCACTCGCTCAGCCGCTCGCTCGCTCAATCGCTCACTCACCCACTCACTCACTCACTCAGCCACTCACTCACTCACCCACTCGCTCAGCCACTCACTCACTCAGCCACTCGCTCACTCGCTCGCTCAGCCCCTCGCTCACTCGCTCGCTCGCTCGGCCACTTGCTCACTCACCCACTCACTCACTCGCTCAGCCAATCACTCGCTCGCTCACTCACTCGCTCACTCACTCACTCACTCACTCACTCACCCACTCGCTCACTCACTCACTCACCCACTCACTCACTCACTCGCTCGCTCGCTCACTCACTCACTCACCCACTCACTCAGCCACTCACTCACCCACTCAGCCACTCACTCACTCAGCCACCCACTCACTCACCCACTCACTCACCCACTCACTCACCCACTCACCCACTCAATCACTCACCCACTCACCCACTCACCCACTCACTCACTCACCCACTCACTCACCAGCTGCACTCCACGTTCCTGCGCTACTCACTCACTCACTCGCTCACCCACTCACTCACCAGCTTCACTCCACGTTCCTGCGCTACTCATTCACTCGCAGGCGGCCACAGCACGAGGTGAGCTCACTCACTCACCCACTCACCCGCATACTCACCCACTCACCCACTCACTCACCCACTCACTCACCCACTCACTAACTCACTAACTCACCAGCTTCACTCCACGTTCCTGCCCTACTCACTCACTCACCCACTCACTCACTCACCCACTTACTCACTCACTAGCTGCACTCCACGTTCCTGCGCTACTCATTCACTCACCCACTCACCCGCATTCTCACCCACTCACTCGCTCGCTCGCTCACCCACTCACTCGCTCAGCCACTCGCTTGCTCACTCACTTGCTCACTCACCCACTCACTCACTCACGCACTCACTCACCCACTCACTCAGCCAATCACTCGTTCGCTCGCTCACCCACTCACTCGCTCAGCCACTCGCTCACTCACTCACTCACTCACCCACTCACTCGCTCGCTCGCTCGCTCACCCACTCACTCGCTCAGCCACTCGCTCGCTCACTCGCTCACTCACCCACTCACTCACTCACTCAGCCACTCACTCACTCGCTCACCCACTCACTCGGCCACTCACTCACTCAGCCACTCGCTTGCTCGCTCAGCCACTCACTCACTCGCTCGCTTGCTCACCCACTCACTCGCTCAGCCACTCGTTCGCTCACTCGCTCACTCACCCACTCACTCACTCAGCCACTCACTCACTCGCTCACCCACTCACTTACTCACTCACCAGCTTCACTCCACGTTCCTGCGCTACTCACTCACTCACCCACTCACTCACTCATTCACTCACCTACTCACTCACTCACCAGCTTCACTCCACGTTCCTGCGCTACTCACTCACTCACCCACTCACTCACTCACCCACTCACCCACTCACTCACTCACCCACTCACTCACCCACTCACCCACTCACTCACTCACCAGCTGCACTCCACGTTCCTGCGCTACTCATTCACTCACAGGCGGCCACAGCACGAGGTGAGCTCACTCACTCACCCACTCACCCGCATACTCACCCGCATACTCATCCACTCGCTCGCTCGCTCACCCACTCACTCGCTCAGCCACTCGCTCGCTCACTCAATTGCTCACTCACCCACTCACTCACCCACTCACTCAGCCAATCACTCGCTCGCTCGCTCACTCACCCACTCACTCGCTCAGCCACTCGCTCGCTCACTCACCCACTCACTCACCCACTCACTCACTCACTCACCCACTCACTCACCCAGCCAATCACTCGCTCGCTCACCCACTCACTCGCTCAGCCGCTCGCTCGCTCAATCGCTCACTCACCCACTCACTCACTCACTCAGCCACTCACTCACTCACTCACCCACTCGCTCAGCCACTCACTCACTCAGCCACTCGCTCACTCGCTCGCTCAGCCCCTCGCTCACTCGCTCGCTCGCTCGGCCACTTGCTCACTCACCCACTCACTCACTCGCTCAGCCAATCACTCGCTCGCTCGCTCACTCACTCGCTCACTCACTCACTCACTCACCCACTCACTCACTCACTCACTCACCCACTCACTCACTCACTCGCTCGCTCGCTCACTCACTCACCCACTCACTCAGCCACTCACTCACCCACTCAGCCACTCACTCACTCAGCCACCCACTCACTCACCCACTCACTCACCCACTCACTCACCCACTCACCCACTCAATCACTCACCCACTCACCCACTCACCCACTCACTCACTCACCCACTCACTCACCAGCTGCACTCCACGTTCCTGTGCTACTCACTCACTCACTCGCTCACCCACTCACTCACCAGCTTCACTCCACGTTCCTGCGCTACTCATTCACTCGCAGGCGGCCACAGCACGAGGTGAGCTCACTCACTCACCCACTCACCCGCATACTCACCCACTCACTCGCTCACTCACTCACCCACTCACTCACCCACTCACTAACTCACTAACTCACCAGCTTCACTCCACGTTCCTGCCCTACTCACTCACTCACCCACTCACTCACTCACCCACTTACTCACTCACCAGCTGCACTCCACGTTCCTGCGCTACTCATTCACTCACCCACTCACCCGCATTCTCACCCACTCACTCGCTCGCTCGCTCACCCACTCACTCGCTCAGCCACTCGCTTGCTCACTCACTTGCTCACTCACCCACTCACTCACTCACGCACTCACTCACCCACTCACTCAGCCAATCACTCGTTCGCTCGCTCACCCACTCACTCGCTCAGCCACTCGCTCACTCACTCACTCACTCACCCACTCACTCGCTCGCTCGCTCGCTCACCCACTCACTCGCTCAGCCACTCGCTCGCTCACTCGCTCACTCACCCACTCACTCACTCACTCAGCCACTCACTCACTCGCTCACCCACTCACTCGGCCACTCACTCACTCAGCCACTCGCTTGCTCGCTCAGCCACTCACTCACTCGCTCGCTTGCTCACCCACTCACTCGCTCAGCCACTCGTTCGCTCACTCGCTCACTCACCCACTCACTCACTCAGCCACTCACTCACTCGCTCACCCACTCACTTACTCACTCACCAGCTTCACTCCACGTTCCTGCGCTACTCACTCACTCACCCACTCACTCACTCATTCACTCACCTACTCACTCACTCACCAGCTTCACTCCACGTTCCTGCGCTACTCACTCACTCACCCACTCACTCACTCACCCACTCACCCACTCACTCACTCACCCACTCACTCACCCACTCACCCACTCACTCACTCACCAGCTGCACTCCACGTTCCTGCGCTACTCATTCACTCACAGGCGGCCACAGCACGAGGTGAGCTCACTCACTCACCCACTCACCCGCATACTCACCCGCATACTCATCCACTCGCTCGCTCGCTCACCCACTCACTCGCTCAGCCACTCGCTCGCTCACTCAATTGCTCACTCACCCACTCACTCACCCACTCACTCAGCCAATCACTCGCTCGCTCGCTCACTCACCCACTCACTCGCTCAGCCACTCGCTCGCTCACTCACCCACTCACTCACCCACTCACTCACTCACTCACCCACTCACTCACCCAGCCAATCACTCGCTCGCTCACCCACTCACTCGCTCAGCCGCTCGCTCGCTCAATCGCTCACTCACCCACTCACTCACTCACTCAGCCACTCACTCACTCACTCACCCACTCGCTCAGCCACTCACTCACTCAGCCACTCGCTCACTCGCTCGCTCAGCCCCTCGCTCACTCGCTCGCTCGCTCGGCCACTTGCTCACTCACCCACTCACTCACTCGCTCAGCCAATCACTCGCTCGCTCGCTCACTCACTCGCTCACTCACTCACTCACTCACCCACTCACTCACTCACTCACTCACTCACCCACTCACTCACTCACTCGCTCGCTCGCTCACTCACTCACCCACTCACTCAGCCACTCACTCACCCACTCAGCCACTCACTCACTCAGCCACTCACTCACTCACCCACTCACTCACCCACTCACTCACCCACTCACCCACTCACTCACTCACCCACTCACCCACTCACCCACTCACTCACTCACCCACTCACTCACCAGCTGCACTCCACGTTCCTGCGCTACTCACTCACTCACTCGCTCACCCACTCACTCACCAGCTTCACTCCACGTTCCTGCGCTACTCATTCACTCGCAGGCGGCCACAGCACGAGGTGAGCTCACTCACTCACCCACTCACCCGCATACTCACCCACTCACTCGCTCACTCACTCACCCACTCACTCACCCACTCACTCACCCACTCACCCACTCACTCACCCACTCACTCACCCACTCACTAACTCACTAACTCACCAGCTTCACTCCACGTTCCTGCCCTACTCACTCACTCACCCACTCACTCACTCACCCACTTACTCACTCACCAGCTGCACTCCACGTTCCTGCGCTACTCATTCACTCACCCACTCACCCGCATTCTCACCCACTCACTCACTCGCTCGCTCACCCACTCACTCGCTCAGCCACTCGCTTGCTCACTCACTTGCTCACTCACCCACTCACTCACTCACGCACTCACTCACCCACTCACTCAGCCAATCACTCGTTCGCTCGCTCACCCACTCACTCGCTCAGCCACTCGCTCACTCACTCACTCACCCACTCACTCGCTCGCTCGCTCACCCACTCACTCGCTCAGCCACTCGCTCGCTCACTCGCTCACTCACCCACTCACTCACTCACTCAGCCACTCACTCACTCGCTCACCCACTCACTCGGCCACTCACTCACTCAGCCACTCGCTTGCTCGCTCAGCCACTCACTCACTCGCTCGCTTGCTCACCCACTCACTCGCTCAGCCACTCGTTCGCTCACTCGCTCACTCACCCACTCACTCACTCAGCCACTCACTCACTCGCTCACCCACTCACTCAGCCACTCACTCGCTCAGCCAATCACTCGCTCGCTCGCTCGCTCACTCACTCGCTCACTCACTCACTCACCCAGCCACTCACTCACTCTCTCGCTAGCTCGCTCACTAACTCACCCATTCAGCCATTCACTCACTCACTCAGCCACTCACTCACCCACTCAGCCACTCACTCACCCACTCAGCCACTCACTCACTCACCCACCCACCCAATCACCCACTCACCCACCCACTCAGCCACTCACCCACCCACTCACCCACTCACTCACCCACTCAGCCACTCACTCACTCACCCACTCACGCACTCACTCACTCAGCCAGCCACTCACTCACTCACCCACTCACTCACTCACCCACTCACTCACTCGCTCACCCACTCACTCACCAGCTTCACTCCACGTTCCTGCGCTACTCATTCACTCGCAGGCGGCCACAGCACGAGGTGAGCTCACTCACTCACCCACTCACCCGCATACTCACCCACTCACTCACTCGCTCGCTCACCCACTCACTCGCTCAGCCACTCGCTCGCTCACTCACTTGCTCACTCACCCACTCACTCACCCACTCACTCTCACCCACTCACTCAGCCAATCACTCGCTCGCTCACCCACTCACTCGCTCGCTCACCCACTCACTCGCTCAGCCACTCGCTCGCTCACTCACCCACTCGCTCACTCACCCACTCACTCACTCAGCCACTCACTCACTCGCTCACCCACTCACTCAGCCACTCACTCACTCAGCCACTCGCTTGCTCGCTCAGCCACTCGCTCACTCGCTCGCTCGCTCAGCCATGGCTCACTCACCCACTCACTCACCCACTCACTCAGCCACTCACTCACCCACTCAGCCACTCACTCACTCAGCCACTCACTCACTCACCCACTCACTCACCCACTCACTCACCCACTCACTCACCCACTCAATCACTCACCCACTCACTCACTCAGCCACTCACTCACCCACTCACTCACTCACCCACTCACTCACCAGCTTCACTCCACGTTCCTGCGCTACTCACTCACTCACTCACCCACTCACCCACTCACCCACTCACTCACCCACTCACTCACTCACCAGCTTCACTCCACGTTCCTGCGCTACTCACTCACTCACTCACCCACTCACTCACTCACCCACTCACTCACTCACCCACTCACCCACTCACTCACCCACTCACTCACTCACCAGCTTCACTCCACGTTCCTGCGCTACTCACTCACTCACTCACCCACTCACTCACTCACCAGCTTCACTCCACGTTCCTGCCCTACTCACTCACTCACCCACTCACTCACTCACCCACTTACTCACTCACCAGCTGCACTCCACGTTCCTGCGCTACTCATTCACTCGCAGGTGGCCACAGCACGAGGTGAGCTCACTCACTCACCCACTCACCCGCATACTCATCCACTCCCTCGCTTGCTCGCTCACCCACTCACTCGCTCAGCCACTCGCTCGCTCACTCACTTGCTCACTCACCCACTCACTCACTCACCCACTCACTCACCCACTCACTCAGCCAATCACTCGCTCGCTCACCCACTCACTCGCTCAGCCACTCGCTCGCTCACTCACTTGCTCACTCACCCACTCACTCACCAGCTTCACTCCACGTTCCTGCGCTACTCACTCACTCACCCACTCACTCACTCGCTCACCCACTCACTCACCAGCTTCACTCCACGTTCCTGCGCTACTCACTCACCCACTCACTCACCCACTCACCCACTCAATCACTCACCCACTCACTCGCTCAGCCACTCGCTCGCTCACTCACCCACTCACTCACTCAGCCACTCACTCACTCGCTCACCCACTCACTCAGCCACTCACTCGCTCAGCCAATCACTCGCTCGCTCGCTCACTCACTCGCTCACTCACTCACTCACCCAGCCACTCACTCTCTCGCTAGCTCGCTCACTCACTCGCTCGCTCGCTCGCTCACTCACTCATTCACTCACTCACTCACTCACCAAGCCACTCACTCACTCTCTCGCTAGCTCGCTCACTCACTCACCCACTCAGCCATTCACTCACTCACTCAGCCACTCACTCACCCACTCAGCCACTCACTCACCCACTCAGCCACTCACTCACTCACCCACCCACTCACCCACTCACTCACCCACTCAGCCACTCACTCACTCACCCACTCACGCACTCACTCACTCAGCCACTCACTCACTCACCAGCTTCACTCCACGTTCCTGCGCTACTCACTCACTCACCCACTCACTCACTCACTCACCCACTCACTCACCCACTCACTCACCCACTCACTCACTCACCAGCTTCACTCCACGTTCCTGCGCTACTCACTCACTCACTCACCCACTCACTCACTCATTCACTCAACCACTCACTCACCTACTCACTCACTCACTCACTCACCAGCTTCACTCCACGTTCCTGCGCTACTCACTCACTCACCCACTCACTCACTCACCCACTCACTCAGCCACTCACTCACTCAGCCACTCACTCACCCACTCAGCCACTCAGGCGCTCACATAATGTTGTTGTTGATGTTGTTGTTGACGATGTTGTTGTTGTTGACGTTGTTGTTGTTGTCGTTGTTGTTGATGATGATGATGTTGTTGTTGTTGACGATGATGATGTTGTTGTTGACGATGTTGATGATGTTGTTGACAATGTTGTTGTTGTTGCGGCCGCTGCAGACGCGCGACTGGAACGAGGAGCTGCAGAGCTGCCGTGAGCTCCCCCACAAGATGCTGTCACAGAGACTCGTTAGAGAGAGAGCCACATTCAAGGTGGTGGTGATGGTGGTGATGGTGGTGATCGTGGTGATGATGGTGGTGGTGGTGGTGGTGGTGATGGTGATGGTGGTGATGGTGGTGATGATGGTGGTGGTGGTGATGGTGGTGGTGATGATGGTGGTGATGGTGGTGGTGATGATGATGGTGGTGGTGATGGTGGTGGTGATGGTGGTGGTGATGGTGGTGGTGGTGGTGATGGTGGGGGTGGTGGGGGTGGTGGTGGTGGTGATGGTGGTGGTGGGGGTGGTGGTGATGGGGGTGGTGATGGTGGTGGTGGTGATAATGGTGGTAATGATGGTGATGGTGGTGGTGGTGATGGTGGTGGTGGTGGTGGTGATGGTGGTGGTGATGGTGGTGGGGGTGGTGGGGGTGGTGGTGATGGTGGTGGTGATGGTGGTGGGGGTGGTGGGGGTGGTGGTGGTGGTGGTGGTGATGATGGTGGTGATGGTGGGGGTGGTGGTGGTGGTGGTGGTGATGGTGGTGGTGGGGGTGGTGGTGATGGGGGTGGTGATAGTGGTGATGATGGTGGTAATGATGGTGATGGTGGTGGGGGTGGTGGGGGTGGTGGTGGTGATGGTGGGGGTGGTGGGGGTGGTGGTGGTGATGGTGGTGGTGGGGGTGGTGGTGATGGGGGTGGTGATAGTGGTGATGATGGTGGTAATGATGGTGATGGTGGTGATGATGGTGGTGATGGTGGTGATGGTGGTGGTGGTGCTGATGGTGATGGTGGTGGTGGTGATGGTGGTGGTGATGGTGGTGGGTGGTGGTGATGGTGGTGGTGGTGGTGGTGATGGTGGTGGTGGTGGGGGTGGTGGTGGTGGTGGTGATGGTTGTGATGGTGGTGGTGATGGTGGTGGGGGCGGTGGTGGTGGCGGTGGTGGGGGTGGTGGTGGCGGTGGGGGCTGTGGTGGCGGTGGTGGTGGTGGTGGTGGGGGTGGTGGTGGTGGTGGTAATGATGGTGATGATGATGATGGTGGTGGTGATGGTGGTGATGGTGCTCCTGCTAATCATGATGATGCTGTTGGCTCCAGGTCCCACCACCGATGGGCGCTGCCGGTGCGTCGTCTCTCGTTGACGCTGCTCAGCAAGGAGCAGCTTCACTCCACGTTCCTGCGCTACTCACTCACTCACCCACTCATTCACCCACTCACCCACTCCCTCACCCACCCACTCACTCACGGACCCACTCACTCACTCAGCCACTCACTCACCCACTCACTCACTCACTCACCCACTCACTCACTCACTCACCAGCTTCACTCCACGTTCCTGCGCTACTCACTCACTCACCCACTCCCTCACCCACTCACTCACGGACCCACTCACTCACTCAGCCACTCACTCACTCACTCACTCACCAGCTTCACTCCACGTTCCTGCGCTACTCACTCACTCACCCACTCACTCACTCATTCACTCACCTACTCACTCACTCACCAGCTTCACTCCACGTTCCTGCGCTACTCACTCACTCACCCACTCACTCACTCACCCACTCACCCACTCACTTACTCACCCACTCACTCACCCACTCACCCACTCAATCACTCACCAGCTGCACTCCACGTTCCTGCGCTACTCATTCACTCACAGGCGGCCACAGCACGAGGTGAGCTCACTCACTCACCCACTCACCCGCATACTCACCCGCATACTCATCCACTCGCTCGCTCGCTCACCCACTCACTCGCTCAGCCACTCGCTCGCTCACTCACTTGCTCACTCACCCACTCACTCACCCACTCACTCAGCCAATCACTCGCTCGCTCGCTCGCTCACTCACCCACTCACTCGCTCAGCCACTCGCTCGCTCACTCACCCACTCACTCACCCACTCACTCACTCACTCACTCACCCACTCACTCACCCAGCCAATCACTCGCTCGCTCACCCACTCACTCGCTCAGCCGCTCGCTCGCTCAATCGCTCACTCACCCACTCACTCACTCACTCAGCCACTCACTCACTCACCCACTCGCTCAGCCACTCACTCACTCAGCCACTCGCTCACTCGCTCGCTCAGCCCCTCGCTCACTCGCTCGCTCGCTCGGCCACTTGCTCACTCACCCACTCACTCACTCGCTCAGCCAATCACTCGCTCGCTCACTCACTCGCTCACTCACTCACTCACTCACTCACCCACTCGCTCACTCACTCACTCACCCACTCACTCGCTCGCTCGCTCGCTCACTCACTCACCCACTCACTCAGCCACTCACTCACCCACTCAGCCACTCACTCACTCAGCCACCCACTCACTCACCCACTCACTCACCCACTCACTCACCCACTCACCCACTCAATCACTCACCCACTCACCCACTCACCCACTCACTCACTCACCCACTCACTCACCAGCTGCACTCCACGTTCCTGCGCTACTCACTCACTCACTCGCTCACCCACTCACTCACCAGCTTCACTTCACGTTCCTGCGCTACTCATTCACTCGCAGGCGGCCACAGCACGAGGTGAGCTCACTCACTCACCCACTCACCCGCATACTCACCCACTCACCCACTCACTCACCCACTCACTCACCCACTCACTAACTCACTAACTCACCAGCTTCACTCCACGTTCCTGCCCTACTCACTCACTCACCCACTCACTCACTCACCCACTTACTCACTCACCAGCTGCACTCCACGTTCCTGCGCTACTCATTCACTCACCCACTCACCCGCATTCTCACCCACTCACTCACTCGCTCGCTCACCCACTCACTCGCTCAGCCACTCGCTTGCTCACTCACTTGCTCACTCACCCACTCACTCACTCACGCACTCACTCACCCACTCACTCAGCCAATCACTCGTTCGCTCGCTCACCCACTCACTCGCTCAGCCACTCGCTCACTCACTCACCCACTCACTCGCTCGCTCGCTCACCCACTCACTCGCTCAGCCACTCGCTCGCTCACTCGCTCACTCACCCACTCACTCACTCACTCAGCCACTCACTCACTCGCTCACCCACTCACTCGGCCACTCACTCACTCAGCCACTCGCTTGCTCGCTCAGCCACTCACTCACTCGCTCGCTTGCTCACCCACTCACTCGCTCAGCCACTCGTTCGCTCACTCGCTCACTCACCCACTCACTCACTCAGCCACTCACTCACTCGCTCACCCACTCACTCAGCCACTCACTCGCTCAGCCAATCACTCGCTCGCTCGCTCACTCACTCGCTCACTCACTCACTCACCCAGCCACTCACTCACTCTCTCGCTAGCTCGCTCACTAACTCACCCATTCAGCCATTCACTCACTCACTCAGCCACTCACTCACCCACTCAGCCACTCACTCACCCACTCAGCCACTCACTCACTCACCCACCCACCCAATCACCCACTCACCCACCCACTCAGCCACTCACCCACTCACCCACTCACTCACCCACTCAGCCACTCACTCACTCACCCACTCACGCACTCACTCACTCAGCCAGCCACTCACTCACTCACCCACTCACTCACTCACCCACTCACTCACTCGCTCACCCACTCACTCACCAGCTTCACTCCACGTTCCTGCGCTACTCATTCACTCGCAGGCGGCCACAGCACGAGGTGAGCTCACTCACTCACCCACTCACCCGCATACTCACCCACTCACTCACTCGCTCGCTCACCCACTCACTCGCTCAGCCACTCGCTCGCTCACTCACTTGCTCACTCACCCACTCACTCACCCACTCACTCTCACCCACTCACTCAGCCAATCACTCGCTCGCTCACCCACTCACTCGCTCGCTCACCCACTCACTCGCTCAGCCACTCGCTCGCTCACTCACCCACTCGCTCACTCACCCACTCACTCACTCAGCCACTCACTCACTCGCTCACCCACTCACTCAGCCACTCACTCACTCAGCCACTCGCTTGCTCGCTCAGCCACTCGCTCACTCGCTCGCTCGCTCAGCCATGGCTCACTCACCCACTCACTCACTCGCTCACTCACTCACCCAGCCACTCACTCACTCTCTCGCTAGCTCGCTCACTCACTCGCTCACTCACTCACTCGCTCGCTCGCTCGCTCACTCACTCACTCATTCTCTCACTCACTCACTCACCAAGCCACTCACTCACTCTCTCGCTAGCTTGCTCACTCACTCACTCACCCACCCACCCACTCAGCCACTCACTCACCCACCCACCCACTCACTCACCCACTCCGCCACTCACTCACTCAGCCACTCACTCACTCACCCACTCACTCACTCACTCACTCAGCCACTCACTCACCCACTCACTCACTCACCCACTCACTCACTCACTCACCCACTCACTCAGCCACTCACTCACTCAGCCACTCACTCACCCACTCACTCACTAACTCACTAACTCACCAGCTGCACTCCACGTTCCTGCGCTACTCACTCACTCACTCACTCACCCACTCACTCACTCACTCAGCCACTCACTCACCCACTCACTCACTCACCCACTCACTCACCAGCTTCACTCCACGTTCCTGCGCTACTCATTCACTCGCAGGCGGCCACAGCACGAGGTGAGCTCACTCACTCACCCACTCACCCGCATACTCACCCACTCACTCACTCGCTCACTCACTCACCCACTCACCCACTCACTCACTCACCCACTCACTCACCCACTCACCCACTCACTCACCCACTCACTAACTCACTAACTCACCAGTTTCACTCCACGTTCCTGCCCTACTCACTCACTCACCCACTCACTCACTCACTCACCCACTCATTCACTCACTCACTCACCCACTCACTCGCTCACCCACTCACTCACCAGCTTCACTCCACGTTCTTGCGCTACTCATTCACTCGCAGGCGGCCACAGCACGAGGTGAGCTCACTCACTCACCCACTCACCCGCATACTCACCCACTCACTCACTCGCTCGCTCACCCACTCACTCGCTCAGCCACTCGCTCGCTCACTCACTTGCTCACTCACCCACTCACTCACTCACCCATTCACTCACCCACTCACTCAGCCAATCACTCGTTCGCTCGCTCACCCATTCACTCGCTCAGCCACTCGCTCGCTCACTCACTCACCCACTCTCACCCACTCACTCAGCCAATCACTCGCTCGCTCACTCACCCACTCACTCACTCGCTCACCCACTCACTCAGCCACTCACTCACTCAGCTACTCACTCACTCAGCCACTCGCTTGCTCACTCAGCCACTCACTCACTCGCTCGCTCGCTCACCCACTCACTCGCTCAGCCACTCGCTCGCTCACTCGCTCACTCACCCACTCACTCAGCCACTCACTCACTCGCTCACCCACTCACTCAGCCACTCATTCGCTCAGCCAATCACTCGCTCGCTCGCTCACTCACTCGCTCACTCACTCACTCACTCATTCACTCACCCAGCCACTCACTCACTCTCTCGCTAGCTCGCTCACTCGCTCACTCATTCGCTCGCTCACTCACTCACTCACTCACCCAGCCACTCACTCACTCTCTCGCTAGCTCGCTCACTCACTCACCCACTCAGCCATTCACTCACTCACTCAGCCACTCACTCACCCACTCAGCCACTCACTCACCCACTCAGCCACTCACTCACTCACTCACCCACCCAATCACCCACACACCCACCCACTCAGCCACTCACTCACTCACCCACCCACTCACCCACTCACTCACCCACTCACTCAGCCACTCACTCACTCACTCACTCACCCACTCACGCACTCACTCACTCAGCCACTCACTCACTCACCCACTCACTCACTCACCCACTCACTCACTCACTCACCCACTCACTCAGCCACTCACTCACTCAGCCACTCACTCACCCACTCAGCCACTCAGGCGCTCACATAATGTTGTTGTTGATGTTGTTGTTGACGATGTTGTTGTTGTTGACGTTGTTGTTGTTGTCGTTGTTGTTGATGATGATGATGTTGTTGTTGACGATGTTGATGATGTTGTTGACAATGTTGTTGTTGTTGCTGCCGCTGCAGACGCGCGACTGGAACGAGGAGCTGCAGAGCTGCCGTGAGCTCCCCCACAAGACGCTGTCACAGAGACTCGTTAGAGAGAGAGCCACATTCAAGGTGGTGGTGATGGTGGTGATGGTGGTGATGGTGGTGATGGTGGTGGTGATGGTGGTGATGATGGTGGTGGTGATGGTGGTGGTGGTGATGGTGATGGTGGTGATGGTGGTGGTGGTGGTGATGGTGGTGGTGATGATGATGGTGGTGGTGATGGTGGTGGTGATGGTGGGGGTGGTGGTGGTGGTGATGGTGGTGGTGGGGGTGGTGGTGGGGGTGGTGGTGGTGATGATGGTGGTGGTGGTGGTGGTGATGGTGGGGGTGGTGGTGATGGTGGTGGTGGTGATGGTGGTGGTGATGATGGTGGTGATGGTGGTGGTGATGATGATGGTGGTGGTGATGGTGGTGGTGATGGTGGGGGTGGTGGTGGTGGTGGTGGTGGTGATGGTGGTGGTGGGGGTGGTGGTGATGGGGGTGGTGATGGTGGTGGTGGTGATAATGGTGGTAATGATGGTGATGGTGGTGGTGGTGGTGGTGATGGTGGTGGTGGTGGTGGTGATGGTGGTGGTGGTGGTGGTGGTGATGGTGGTGGTGGTGGGGGTGGTGGTGATGGTGGTGGTGGTGATGGTGGTGGGGGTGGTGGTGGTGGTGGTGGTGGTGATGGTGGGGGTGGTGGTGGTGGTGATGGTGGTGGTGGGGGTGGTGGTGATGGGGGTGGTGATGGTGGTAATGATGGTGATGGTGATGGTGGTGATGGTGGTGGTGATGGTGGTGGTGATGATGGTGGTGGTGGTGTTGATGGTTGTGGTGGTGGTGATGGTGGTGGTGGTGATGGTGGTGATGGTGGTGGTGGTGGTGCTGATGGTGATGGTGGTGGTGGTGATGGTGGTGGTGATGGTGGTGGTGGGTGGTGGTGATGGTGGTGGTGGTGGTGGTGATGGTGGTGGTGGTGGGGGTGGTGGTGGTGGTGGTGATGGTTGTGATGGTGGTGGTGATGGCGGTGGGGGCGGTGGTGGCGGTGGTGGCGGTGGTGGGGGTGGTGGTGGCGGGTGGGGGCTGTGGTGGCGGTGGTGGTGGTGGTGGTGGGGGTGGTGGTGGTGGTGGTAATGATGGTGATGATGGTGATGGTGGTGGTGATGGTGGTGATGGTGCTCCTGCTAATCATGATGATGCTGTTGGCTCCAGGTCCCACCACCGATGGGCGCTGCCGGTGCGTCGTCTCTCGTTGACGCTGCTCAGCAAGGAGCAGCTTCACTCCACGTTCCTGCGCTACCTCACGCACCACTCACTCACGCCACTCACCTCAACGCCCCACTCACCACCC